TGGTCGAAGCCAATTCAACCTCATCCATCAGTTGTTTGGCCAGAGGCTTGTACAGGCCTACATACCTCTTCAGCTGCCATGACCTCATAGCGGCTTAATGTAGGCGCCTCAAACTATTTTTGGGTTCCTTATTATGATTACAGTATAATAGACCCCGAAACCCTAGTCTAATTATTAAGGCCCCTACATTAGCGTAACTAAACGTTCGACTGAGGGTCAAAGGCCAAGTCTACGCGCATCACGTACAAGCAGAAGCCGACAGCGGCACCAATCCTTGCCAAGGAGGAGGGCCCCTAACCCCGAAACCGAGCTGTAATGCATACTTAGTCTACACCCCCTTTGACAAATCTCTGAATTCAACAAACCCTATAGAACCGTGTACACAAACTATGACAATGCCTGAAACCGTGTAGGTGATGTTGAACGAAAGGGCATGGAGGCATCAGCGCGGCACTCAGGTCCTCTGGTATGTACCTATGGGACCTGTAGGAACATAGAGTAGAAGCCATAAAATTGGGACATTATTCCTCAAGGTAACCCTAAGCCTTCAGGTACCTACTATATAGGGCCCGAGGCTCTACACCAGGTGCCTGGAGGGTTGGGGTATAAACCCTAAACCCTGAACCCTAAACCCTAGACCCTAAACCCTAAACCCTAAACCCTAAACCCTAAACCCTAATGTATAAGGGATCCGAGCACACATCGCCCTAAACCAATGTGCCGACTTTCTGGGGTTCGCTGTAGAGCACTCAGGGGGCTATTTAGGATTACATCCCTCCCACGAATAAGGTTTAGGGTTTAGGGTTTAAGGTTTCGGGTTTAGGGTTTAGGGTTTAAGGTTTAGGATTTAGGGTTTAGGGCTTTGGGACTTCCACCCTCAGCCCTCCACCCTAATCCCTGAACCCTAAATCCTAAACCGTAAGCCCTGAACCCTGGAACCTACAGCCCCTAAATCCTACCTATAGTCTGCATTGTAGTTCCTTTTTTGGTTGAGCCGAGTTTATTTAGGATCCTATATGGCAACCCCAAAAAGGAACTACGATGGAAACTATAGGTAAAGCTTATATATAAACCCTAAAGCCCTAAATCCCGAACCCAAAGCCTGAAAATCTGAGTCCGAAAACCTAAATCATAAATTCCAAAGTTTAGGGTTTAGGGGCTATACAAGGTTTTTTAGTTTAGGGTTTAGGGTTTAGGCTCTATATAGTTATAGGGCTTAGGAATTTAGAGTTTAGGGTAAACCCTACAAGCGATTGGCACCTCTGCACTGGTGTCGGGGGTTCGGTTAGGTTAGGTTGCCTTTATCGGACACGCTCTCCAACGATTTGGGGGGTAGGGCCGTTTCGGGTTTCAGGGCATGCTCTACGGCTTGGGCTTGTCGGAGGATTAGGTTTTGTAGCTGTGGGTTCGGCAGTATTTTGGAAACCCTAAACCCTGACCCTAAACCTTAAACCCTAAACCTAAACTATTTTGTGTTTGATTATCCTAAACCCTAAACCCTAGTTTGATTAGACTGACTCTGTGTGGTGTGGGAGGTTTTGAGTCCGCGCTATCCTTGTGGTTTCAGTTCAGGGCATGAGTTCGATCCTTCCCGACTGCAGCCCCAAACGTGGCCTCAATGGGTATTCAATTTGGGGGAGTATATTTAAGAATTAGGATTGGGTTTGGGGGTATGTTGTGGTATTTCATGATTAAGATAGGGCTGGAGGAACATTATGGAGCTATCATGCCATGGAAGCCTAAGCAATAACACTAGTAATTACAATTGCTTCTGCAATGACAAAGCCGTCAGTGTGGTTTAATCAAAAGACCATGCTTAACGCGCCGTGCCACTCGAACAAAAACTGTCTCGGGAAGCAGCTTACCAAATCAAAACATGTAAATGTGTGCGTGAAGCCGTACGGGTATTTGCGAACTCACAGCTTATGTCTCAATACTTCCGTTAGATACGTTCTGGGACAACTCCGTTTCCATGGAAGCCTCGTGTCATGCTAGCTAGCAGACTTCACGGCCTTTTTTGAACCACAAACTCATCAGTGGACTAAACCCTAAACCCTAGATTCCTAAAGCCTATACAAACCCTTAACCCTAAATTCCTAAACCCTAAAGCCTAAACGTTTGGGGCAAAGGTTCGAAGGTTATGAAGAACAATGACAACCTCCTCTTAAGTACTGTTGATAATATAAATCCTGCATTACCTTAAGCCCCAAGGACCCTAAACTACGGGACTTATGGTATATTCCATATTCTGGGCAATGCAGGATTTATATCATCAACCGCAGTTCTCTAGATGGGGGGTCCCTTTTAGAATCGTTTTCATGAGGGTGCCGGGGGTCCCTCTTAGGGTAGTGCCATCCTGCCTCTACGATCGTAAATGCAACAGGAGGTTTAGGCTTTCGGGTTTAGCCCTCCATGTGGACAAGTGATTCCATGAAAGCCCCGAATTGGCCCGGGTGCACAGCACTGGAGATCGTCTTCCACAGAAGATAGCTCTGCATGAGGTGTTTGATGCCCTGCTTGCGCCTCCTGATTTGGGAAGATCGGGCGCTTGAGAGTTTCCTAAACCCTAAACCCTACAGGGTTTAGGGTTTCAAAACTCCTAAACCCTAAACCCTAACGGGTCTTAGGGGTTTAGAGTCCGGATGTAAGGATTTCGGCTTCATGTTGGAGGAGACAGTGGGTCCTAAACCCTAAACCCTAAACCTGGGTCCTAGGGCTTTCTGAGGGGTTGAGGCCCGAGACCAGGTCTGTAGGCTGCCTGAACGCGCACATGGCTCAGGGTTTAGGGTTTCATACTAGGGTTTAAGGTTGAGGGTTTATAGATGTTTAGGGTTTAGGGTTTCACAATAGGGTTTAAGGTTGAGGGTTTATAGATGTTTAGGGTTTAGGGTTTCGCAATAGGGTTTAAGGTTGAGGGTTTATAGATGTTTAGGGTTTAGGGTTTATAATAGGGCTTAAGGTTTAGGGTTTAGGGATGTTTAGGGTTTAGGGTTTATAATAGGGTTTAAGGTTTAGGGTTTAGGGATGTTTAGGGTTTAGGGTGCATCGAAACCTAAACACTAGGGTGAAACAACTCCTAGGCCCCAGGAGTGCCAGCAAGAATTTAAACCTCACGGTTCAAACGTTTAGGGTTTAGGGTTTAGGGTTTAGGGTTTAGTGACCTACCCTAAACCCTAAACCCTAGAACCTAAACCCTGACCTACCAAGACCTTAAGACTACGAAAACCCGACAGAGGGGGGATGAACGTCGGAGTCGATAGCGAGGCCACGAAACCTTGGGGAAACAAGCCCTGTGATACTCTTTGGTTTGGGGTTTAGGGTTTAGCGTTTAGGGTTTAGGGTATACCTATAGTCTCCATTGTAGTTCCTTTTTGGGGATATCTTATAAAATCCTTAATATATAATTGGTTAAACCAAAAAAAGGAACTACAATGGAGACTATAGGTAGGGTTTAGGGTTTAGGGTTTAGGGCACTGTCAACCTGTACCCTGCTTATGGGGCTTTTTGGGGGTTGATGAAAACGTCCTCTTGTCGTGCGGGTTCGGCAGCATCGCATACAAGCAGAAGAAGAACATCAGCGATGTTAGCACGATGCCCTCTGAGAAGGCAATGACGGCCTCGGCATGTCCGGCGACAGTGAGTTTATGTATTATAAGGGCCTTGATAATTAGCATAGGGTTTTTGGGGGGTTCCTGATTATAATATAATTTATCCTAAACCCCATTCTACTTAGTCAGGCCCCTACAATTTTCAGACGACTACGTAAAAGTTGTAGTAGTTCCCCTTTTCCATCGCCGCTGCAGCCAGGGTGCAGTCAACGTGTCCATTAGCTGACCTCCGCAGTTTCACACGTCAAAGAGTCTTGGTTTAGGGTTTAGGGTTTAGGGTTTAGGGTTTAGGGTTTAGGGTTTAGGGAGCCTGAACACCTCAAGACTCACACCCAAACACAAAAGATGGAAAACTGGGTGGCTCATGAGGTTTGGAAACCCCTTGAGGGCTTAGGTTCTTAGGGGTTAATAGGGTTTTTATGGGTTTATAGGGTTTAGGGTTTATAGGGTTTAGTGTTAACCCTAAACCCTAAACCCTAAACCCTAAACCCCTAAACCCTAAACCCTAAATCCCAAACTTTAAACCCTAAGCCCTAAACCCCTAAAACAGGGGGTCCAGACTCTAGACGGGCTGGCCCGGGGTCCCAGGATACGAACTCCCAGATCTCCAGTAGATGGGGCTTCAAGTCGTACCTATAATGTAGGTTTAGGGTTTGGGGTTTAGGGTTTAGGGTTGAGGTTTTAGGGTTAGGGCCTTTATCTAATTATTAGAAGAGGGTTTTGGGGGTTCCTTATTTTGATTATAGTATAAATGACCCCTAAACCCTATCCTAATGGTTAAGGCTCCTATATTATAGTCTCCAGTGTAGTTCCTTTTTTTGGGTTCAACCTGTTTTATACTTAGGATCCTTTGAGGTATCCCCACAAAGGAACTACAATGGAGACTATTGGTACTTGGTCTGGGGTCCTTACAAGTAGACAGGATCCTGCCATCAAGGGTTTCATTACGGCCCCTTATGTTTCTTAAAGTCAAGTTTTCAATGGAACAATTCACCTTCTGGTTGCATTCCGAGCAGGAGAAAGAATTTCAGGTTTCTAGGCTGTGAAAATATTTCCCTGAACCCTAAACCCTTAAACCC